AACTCCAACTCGGAGTTGGAGTTAACTTCGGAGTTGACAGTTTTTTTTCATTAGAGTTGGAGTGGAATTTCGCAATTAGTGGGTAGAATTGGAGTGGAGTTGCAGTAGACATGGAGTGGAGCTTGAGTGGAGTTGGAGTGGAATTTTACAATTGATGGATAGAGTTGGAGTGGAGTTGGAGTGGTATTTTTCAATTTGTAGGTAGAGTTGGAGCGGAGTTGAATTGGTCTGGAGCGGAGTTGGAGTGGAATTTTACAATTTGTGGGTAGAGTTGGAGCGGAGTTGAATTGGTCTGGAGCGGAGTTGGAGTTGACATCTTTTTCCAACTCCAATTGAACTCCTGTTGATTTTCAGACTCGCCAGAAGAGAACGGAAAAAAAGTCGACAGTAAAAACACGTGCATACATATGGTATCTATGACGCAATTAAGAAAACTAAGAATGAATGACCTTGAATCATTACATCGAGAGAGAGAAATATAGAGAGATATGGAGAGAATTTAGAAAGTCATTGGTGGCGTGATTAAATATTATTTGTTAAACAATTCAGTGCATCGAATACATATATCTCTGATTTTTCATTACTTGTGAACAATCAGAATGCAAATGGATTCATCATCTGATGTAACAACAATTGACCTGACACTTCAACATCTGATGCACAAACAAGTTCTTCCAATGATGACAAGATGTCTTACACAGTGAAGACAAAAATTGGTCGTCATGGTCTTGAACAATATTATGAAGATTTTAAAGAGTATATTACAGGTGATCTGAAAGGTAAAACATCTGCCACATGTATTTTATGCAAAGAAATTGTTTGGCATGTGAAAAATTCTACGTCAAATTATTGTCATCATTTACAACGTAAACATAAAGCGGAATATGATTTGTGGTCAAAAAATGCATCAGATAAAGAAAAAAACTTGAACAAGATGAAACAAATTTCTTTAGAAGATAGTTTATCTTCACCTTCTCATACATCAAACTATGGACCAACTCATCCTCGTCAAGTGGAATTAACTCGAATGGTTCTTAATGACTTTATCATGGATTAGATTTACCATTATCAATTACTGAAAAACTTGCATTTATTCAAGCTATGAAAACAGTTGATCCAAAACTTCGTGTTCCATCTCGACGATCAATCACATCTGATTATTTACCAAAATTACATGAACAAATTGTTAACAAATTAAAAAATGCATGTTCATCAGCTGATTTTCTTTCATTAACATTCGATGGCTGGACAGATCGTCGTATGCGAGCATCTTAGGCTGTTACAATGCATTATATTGATCAAGCGGGACAATTAAAAGCACATTTGCTCGCTTTTAATCCTCTTTCTGGTAAGATTTTTTATTTGGGTGTGGGTGGTGGGTGTGGGGTGTGGGTGTGGGTG